TGCCCACTCATCCACTATCTGCATTGTGAGTATCCCAGACATTGGCGAGCCTCAAGAACTGGATGCAGACAGCTACTACAAAGATGTCTGACTTATCCAGTGTTGTTGTAGCACAGTCATCCACCCCCAACACCCCAAATTGCTCCAACAATAGAGGATACATTGAAAACGATTTTGGAGAATCGGCAGACCATCATGAACACTTTAGTAGCACATGGAGCAGTGATTGAGGAGCTTGGGAAGCAGGTAAAGAAGATGAGGAAATCCCAGGTATCCAAGAAATCATTAGACATCCTGAGGAGAGAGGTCACCAAGATAGAAACCGCTGGGGACCTTCCATTTGATATGCCGATGGGGACAGATCCAGCAGTACCAGTAGATCCAGCAACACCATCAGCACCAGTAGCACCAGTTGGCCAGTCTGAGGAGCCATACCTGGCTGCCGACACTGTTGAGGCGGTGCGCCAGATGTTCACCCACCCAATTACTCCCAGAGCCGGGGAGGATGAGATCCAGTTAGAGGAGACTGAGGGCGGTGACGTTGCTATGGACACAGCTATATAGGGAGTCCTCTTCACTCTTACCCTTCTTTATTCTTATTTTGTTAAGCATTGGGGACAATGCTTACTTTTATTCGGGGGTGGAGTTTATTGGATATTTGGATGATTTGACATTTGGTTTGTAATAACTGATAACATTTTCCTTTTTCTTTTTATCATGTATAGATTCTCCTCTTTCTCTCTCTATTGATGTATATATTTTCTCTTTTCCTCCCTCATTATGTATATTCCTTATGCTTGCAGTAACTTGCTTTGTAGCTTCTTTATTTTATTTTCTTATTAGTCAATGTTTAATTTAGTAGCTTCTTGTTTAATCTAATAGCTTCTTTTCAATCTAGTAGCTTCTTTTATGTTTGAGTGGACAATAAGCCTTTGGTTTTCTTAATGCCACGATTCTTTCCAAAGGTAGTTTTTATGTGAACCGGGTGACTTTTCCCAACGATGGATGGCGTGACAACCTTCTTAAAGGATTGAGTCCGTTTTTGGTGTTTAGGTAAGAATAGTAGTAATAAGGAATAAAAAGACCTAATTGAGTCAAGCTCGAAGAGTCAAATATGCTTCACTTGGTACCAATACATTTAACTATGTGCTTATGGTTAGAAAAATAATTTGGAAAGAAATAGCTCTAGTTAGTGACCTTGTGACTCTTGTGTTGACTTAGGCAATCATCGAGTAGTTCAGTCCTTTTTAATAATCCAGCTGCGTGAGAGGTGAGATGTTTTTGTTGCAAGTCCAAGTACCCATGCAAATGGTCTAGAACTTACCCCGAATGTGTTTCTAGGCGAAATTTTAAGTTTTGCTTGGCTTGAGAAGTGATTGTTGGCTTTCTTTGACCCGCTTGAAATTTTCCATGGACCACCAATTTTGTTATCCCTAATCAACTTATTTGAGCCTAAAATCTTTCTCATTTGATCACCATGTTACAAGTCTTTACCAGTCTGTCGTGACCCTCTCTTGGCACCCGAACTTTCCTTAACACTCTTGTGAAACAATTGACTAAATATATAAGTTTAGGGGGGAGATGAAGAGTTTAAAAAAGGTATCAAGGCACAAAAAGAGAAAAGAAATGAAGAGAAGGAAAGACAAGCAAAAGAAAGATGAACAAAAAGAAAAATGCAAAAAGAAAGTGAATAAGTTGAAGAGTTGAAGGGATTTCAAAAAATAGTAATGATGCAAAGCATGGAGAAAAGAAAGAAGGAGAAAATGAATATCATGACCAAGAAAGAGTGAATCTAAGTCTCTCTAATCCCCCTATGGAAAATAAAATGCCTCAAAAAGTTGGCAAAGCATGAGCCGATAAGAGAAAATGGAGTGCTTAAGGAAAGATGAACTCGTTCTATCATATCATATCCAACCTTAGTCCAAAAGCCTTCATTATATTCTAAAAAAGCCCTACGTGATTTCAAGCCGAGTGAGCTTACATTAGTGGTGATTTACATGAGGGGCAAGCCTATGGTACTTAAAGTCGTACTTGTGACATTCTTTTGAGAGAAATAAGCGAACCTTTCACAAATCTTTGAATTGAGTGCGACATTCTTAAGTAAGATATGCAAACGGAGAGTAGAGGAGGAGGAGTTTGGGATCCACAATGACCTACATAAAAAGGCGAGCTTCCTTGATGAATTAAGTCAACTCTTGATGCTCAAGTGTCACATTTGAACTATTTGTGCTTAAATGTTCAACCCATTGCCTTGTTAATAATTCATAAGTGTTGTGGGTAATTGTTGGGCCCAATTGATGTGTGATTGATGAATTTTTGATTAGCTGGAATAGCTCTTAACTTGTGGAGGTGGGAATTACCTTATTTGCTTGAGGACAAGCAAAATCTTAAGTTTGGGGGAGTTGATAAGTGAGAATTTTGACTACTTATTAGCTTCTTTTTGCTTTCGTTTTAGTCCAAAAGCGTTTAATTGTGTTCTCGAAAACTGATGAAATATGCTTAATTGTAGGAATAGTGGAAAATGAGCCCCAAAATATGAAATCCAACTCAAGAAGGAGTGACCTAAGCTCAAGGACAAAAACAGGAACAGAAGCTCAAAAGTGCGGACCGCAGATTGTGAAGTAAATCCTATGAGAGCCAAATGCAAAGTGCAGTCCACACATGAAATGTGAGGCCGCAGATCCTGGACAAGGGCAAAAAGTTCAGAGAACCTGCAGTCAAGTTCAATAGAAGTGCGGACCGCATAATTATTGTGCGGCCGCAGAAGATCAGCTACGCCGGCGCAGTTGCATTTGTGCGGTCCACAAAAGAGACATGTGCAGCCTCACTCAGAAATGTGCGGACCGCAAAAAGAGAGAGATGCAGTCTCAGTTCAGAATTGTGCGGCTGCAAGATTCCAATCCTGTCAGGTTGAAGCAAAGTGCGGACCGCATATGTAATTGTGCGGCCGCAGAACTTCCGAAAGGACATTTTTGTCCGAAAATTTTAGCTCTGTATAAATAGAAGAGTTTTATTTTTTTAGGGTAAGTTTTGACATCAACAGCTACAGTAGACGTTTTGTTTTTACTCTTTTTAGTAGTTTTTGCCATTTTGAGCTTTTCGAACATTGATTTCATCATTTTAATTATCAATATGGATTTAATTATCAGTTCTTCTTCTTTCTCTTCCAATTTAAGCATGAGTAACTAGACTTTCACTAGGGTTGTCACCCAACCCTAGTATGCAAACTTAATGGGTGTTTGATTTATTGCTTGTTTATGGTTGGGTGTTGATTATCTAGCCTAGTTCTTGCTTTAAGTTGAAGAATTAATGGTTGCAAATATTATTTCATGCCTATTTGACTTGGTCTCTACTTGAGAAAGAGAGATTTAGTCTTGAAAAACTTGGCTAGCAAGAAATTGGGTCAATCGAGAAATTGATAAGCTCAATTAAAGGGTTGAACCTAGAGATAGTAAAACCCGACTTGAGCTTATTATATACTGCTTTGTTCAATACCCATTTGGACTTGAGAAAGCCAAATTGGGCAAAATACTCTCTGAACGAGAGGTATTGAGTGGGTACTTGGATGTTGATAGCTATAATATACCCCGACCAATAAAATAAGCTTTAAAATTTACAACCCATTAGGCGAACACCTAGGTGAAGGTCATAGCCCTAGGCCTTTTTATCAATTGAAAAACAACCAAAAATAATTTCCTAGTTTCGTTCTTTAAAATCACACTCATAGTTTAAGTTAGATTTTCAAATAAAACCCAATATTGCAGAAGTGCAAATTAAGATATACAAATCCACGTATTAAGATATATACTACTAGAACCCATTCGCATAGCTCCCAGTGGAATTCGACCCCGACTCTGTTGGGTATTATTATTGCATCGGCCGTTTTCATATCCTCAAATAGAGGAGTGAAATTGGCCGAGACCAGCATCCTGCTCCACGGTTTGGTCATCTCCACGCTGATCATTAGTGCGAGAAGCAGACCTTTCAGGTGAACTTTCACGGGATTACTGAGGGGATCTCGTATGTGTGTGATGTGGTGGAGTTCCACCTTGTTGGTTCAGTTGGTTGTTCTCGTTAGCGGTTGACATATTTGGTCGATAAAAATGAAGTTTGGAAAGTGAACAGATTATCAGATTCCTGGTAACGGAACTAATTTGTTTAACATAAAAATAGATTTTTCAGTCAAAGTCAATATTAAGAAGAAATCGGATTACTGATAACCAAGATTTACTTCACTTTCCCAGTAATTTGAAGAATAAAGCAAGAAATGGAAATAATTGACAAAGAAAGAAAATACGAAATAGATTGATAATTACTCCCAAAATTGTGGTTATAACCTTGAGAATAAAGTAAAGAATGATTGCATAAATTTCAATAATAAATCAGATGTCATTAAAAATGAGGTCTTAGTCCTTATATAGGAGCATACAATTATAACGGTTTCCTTACCTAATTCGAGCTCACTAATGGTATTAATTACATTGATTACCCATTACTGTATATAATTGTAACAGAAGTATTTATGGCTAAATATTTCCCGTAACCATAAATATATATCGATTTCCCTTCCTTATTTATGACAGGCTCGTGCATCTTCCCTTCTTAATAGTCTTTATTCATTCCACTCATATTTCTCCTTTTACAGCTGTCAGGTCCGGTTCTTTTCCCAGTGTAATCTCGAGGGTGTTCCTTTCGTGCCTTTTCGCGTTCTTTAACTCGTCTAATTAAGAACGCCACTTGTCGCTATATTGATGGTCCGCATACCATGCCTTGTCATCTCGATGATAATCCACGTGTCATGCCTTTTTTCCACTAATACAAATGTATTGGGCATAAGTTGTACTAACCAACACCACCATCCCTTAATATATGTGCTTTCTTTTATTCATTTCCTAAATATATAAGGTTCAAGCCTACTCTATCATTGTCTTCCATAGTGTGTGAGGCTACATAATATTATTCATTAAACCATGCAGTTGTTGAAACTTGAGAGACAGAAAGAATGCGAAATCTGAAGGGATTTCATTCATTGAACACTTTGCACCATTACAATGCTAAAAACCCTTCTTTGAGCAACTACAGGGAAATGCTACTAAAAACTGTTAAAGCAAAAAAAAAAAAAAAAAAAAAAAAAAAGAGCCTAAAAGAAAAAGAAGAAGGGTCATTGACGTTATGAGTTCTGGTAAATCCTCAGTAATAACTTCAGGTTGCCGCGTTGCTCAATATAAATGACTTTCTCTCAGATCACCTCCTGGAAAACAGAGAAATTAACAGATGTTAGTAAATAAACAATGGTGTTGGATAGTAAAATGTTGATATGAAGTATCAGAATCACATGGAAGATGTCTCACCAAAATCCCTAGGTGTCTTGCATTTATAACATTCTGCTCTGCTTGCATAGTTGTGCATACCACATTCAATTCTGTCGATCAAGAAGGAAGCTATGTCAGTTAAAATCTCAAATATAAAATGTCACCTGCACATGTCAGTAGTAAAAGGAGGAGAGTTGCGGCAGGCTAACAGTCAGCGTAAAACTAGTCATTATTGTGATGAATCCTCGTAATACAATGTTTTCTGGGAGTCCTAGTCTGATCGGAGATTTATATGTCAGTAACAAATATAGTGAAAACTTCTAGTACTTTTAAATTCTATTTTTATAATATTTGTTTGAAATGAGTTTAATTGCAGCGACATGATTAGTGAAGATTCATAATAGCCGACCCCAACTTGCTTCGGATTAAGGCATAGATGTTGTTGTTGTTGCAATATTGGACCAAAATGAGCTTAAATGGAGCGACATGAACAGTGAAGATTCATGTAGCCGACCCTGACTTGTTAGGAATTGAGACGTAGTTGTTGTTATTGAAGTAAATATAAACCAACCTGCTGCAAATCCAATCACCACTCTTCCAACCAGGAACAGCACTTGCATCATATCCATAGCCGGCTGATGCCATCATTCCTGTCCCGATACCATAATAATCACTTTTTAAGGCACCACATCTATAGCAGTTTGTTCGACTTGCATAGTTGTGAGAACCACAGTTCATAGCACTGCAATACCAGTCCCCAGCTAAGACTTCTGTTTTGTTTAGTCCATACATGGCAACATCAGCCGACGTTGCATACTTAGGGCAGCTGCATCGTTGGCATGCATCCCTTTTCTTGAAATTTATGTGTTGGCATGCAGCACACATCCAATCTCCACTGCTCATTTTATGTCTACCTAAAAGTGAACATGGAAAGATGATGAGAACAAATTTTCATATGGGAAGTAAAATAGGCCATTGTAAGAGGCATGAAAAAACAACCGAGAAATCTTATTATTGTTTATCCATCTTTGAGGCCTCATTCTATGAAATACTGTCTATATGCTAGAACTGCATTGCTTACACATGAAATACTGTCTATATGCTAGGCCTCATTTTTTGAAAAACTTGGACTCAAGGCTGCATTTTGTTTTTGTGCAGAAGCTGGAAATCATGAAAATGAAATGCAGAAGGAAACTAAATCATCGATGCCTCACCTTGTGAAGAACTGAGCGTCTCAACTAGACGTAAACTTGAAGCTCTCAAGAAATGGTTTGCTGTAGGTAGTAATTTTGATGAATGTTTTGGGGAGGTATATATAGTTTGGAAGAACTCATTATTGGGCCCCAAAGTGTCCTTTTTGATCTGTGAGCTTCAGACAGTTTCCTTAAATGGGATTCCACAAGATAGCGCAAATTTTCCAAATATTATTGGATAAACCTCCTACTTCCCTTCCTTCTTGACTGTAGGAAGTTGTCAACTGTCATATTCATTCATGTGAAGCACTATTTTCTTGCAGAAGTCCAATAATGCCCCTCCTTACCTGTTCGACGGTCCATTATTCTACTAAAAAGAGCTCAAAATATTATTCTTTGTTCTGTATCCACTTCTTGTAGGTGTTATGAGGGGAAGATGTTATGTGAAAGGTGTGGTTTTGCTACGATCGATGGACCCTTGAGATGATTTGGATGCACACACTTAGACATAAAATGAGTATGTGCCATCCACATGGCCGGTGCAAGCAACTGCTTGACACGAAGGCTAATGCCGTTCAGGTGGGAAATGGTCCAGGTTCTAAAGGGTAAAAACTGTAACAATTTTACCACCAAGGAATCAATTCCCTCATAATGCAAATTCAAGTCATATTATTCTTCTGTGCTATATTATTCTTAATAATTCAAAAGTGAACCAAAAGTGGACTTCTTTTCATCTCCTGCTTAGTCATATCTGTGCTTGCTTGTCTATTTTCACATAATACCAGTTTTAGAGCTCTTAATCACACATCTAGCTTTTCCTCCATTTGTAAAACAAAGAGCACTATAGATATTATCAGACCAGTCCTTAGTTTCACCAAATAGATTGCCAAGAATCTAAAAGCCTTTTATTGGCACACTAAGGTGATACATGAATTCGGAACAAAACGTGAGAGTTGCATTATTCCTGACAGTATTGAATACATCAATTTTAAGAGAAATACCTCTTTCTTGACAGGTACCTTAAACAATGTATTTAAGGTATACGATCACAGGGTGTTTACCTTTGTTTTTCATCAATAAAGAAATCAGTATTCTCTGAAGATTCTGAATGCGATGCATGGCACAGGATTTGAACTTTATGACTTCGAAGCCCTGTAATTGTTTATATGATAAGTCAAAAGGTTAACCATCTTTGGCAATAATCAACTTAATGATCTCTCGCTTTACAGAAAAGGAAAAGAAGTGTAAGGTTATAACTTGACATGGTTCAAAAGCCTTAAAAGGAGAATGCTAATATCTGAATTCCCTTACTAAAGGGACAGTTGATTGTGCATTTATGTTAGGATAGTTTCAGCTAAGGTTCTAACTGGACAGCGGTTCCAATCAGTTTTCAATCAATGATCCAAGAATTGATAAATTGTCTTAACTTTCAAGAAATGAGTGAATACTACACAATGTATTGCCATTGATGAGTCAGAAAAAAATCCAGGCCTCCCATACAAACACATAATATGGTGTTCTTATTGGGATAAATACAATATTAATTTGAGATTGACAATAAGTTGAAGCCATTTGACCAATTATCGGGGCCACAAATGCTGACATGGCAACCATAGATGATTCCACCTAAGCACAGAAGCTCGCGTGTTGACATAGGATTTGATAAGGAGGAATCCTAATCACCATTTTTAACCAGACAAGATGAATATTCTGGATAAGAAAACCTCAGATAAAACTCCATCCTTTATTCTATATATGTGACCATTCTGTAAAGGGGGCCTATCCTCCTCAATAATACTTGCCAGAATCTAAATCCTAACGGCTATGATAAAAATAGCCGTTGCTTTTGAATTTTGCATATTCCTATAGTGCTGTCAGAAGGTAAGTTTTAGCAAATGCTACTTTTGCAAATAGTGCTTAATTAAGATATATTCTTCTTATCCGTACAAATGACTCTTATATCTCATCAGAATAAAGGGTCCTAAAGATTGATTGATATTGATTCTAAGTAAATTCACTTGTAGTGGTAAAAGAAAGAATCGCAAAAAAGCCAGAAAATCATTTTGGATAGCCCTTGTAGTGCCCACTATGACCTGTTTTCTTATTGGTCTTCAGCATCGAAATAACCACACAGAAATGAGTGCAGTTGGATCAAACACCACTTCAAAAAACTAACGCGCCGATCAACTCTCAAGCAATGCAGCAGCAGGTAGCCACAGCTGCAAAGATATCGCGATGCCAAACAGCTATGGATCCAAGATTACACATTTGAAATTACGGGTTTAGAATTTAATGTTTGTTGAAATTTTAGTGGTATTTGACATATGTATCTATGCTTTTTGTCGAAAATATTGGGAGGTTGAGCGCATTGACTATATACTCCGTCCGCCTCTGGTGCCAGGCGCTTTTATCTTCTGACTTCTCACAGATAACTCCACAATCTTGGTTATTAGGTGGCAAGCAACTCCAGCTAATTATTCTTTTGAAAATTCTCATTCTAGTCTCAATACTAACTATTTCAGTTGCCTCATTTATCTCAAAAGTCAACCCACAAATCTCTCCTGCATTCCCTTCTATCATCTTAGAGGCGGATGCAGCATTGGGAAAATGGTTCATTTGAACCCTATATTTTCGACACGGAGCATAGATATATATGCTGCATCAACAACTGGTAAATCCGAACTCACAACTTCCAAAGTATAATGAGTTCGGCGCTAAGATAAATTCTTGATCCGGCTCTGTTAACAGTGACAAGTGCTATATATTTTGGCACAATAAATTTGTAGCAAAAGCCATACCAGTAGTTCCAAAAGCAAAAGGTTACATTACCTTGTTGGATATATAGTTCAATTGGTAGTTATACCTCCAGTGCCCATACTGAACCTGGATAACATAACAAATTTGTACTCAAATACTTTGTAACAGACCAATAGTGTGTAGCAGAATTACTTTTGAGCCAATTGCAAAAGGCTGCAGCTTGTAAAAACAGAATATATTCTTATACACATAAGTTAATATTCTTGTGATCCTAATAAACAAATTCCCATAATGTTCATGTATAGGTTTCATCACACTTAGAAAGATTCATTTTTGAGACAATGTATTGAACTGAAAACAAGTTGTTAGACATCTACCAACCCTTAGTCTCACCCCTCTGAAAAAATTTCTTTCCTTTTTTCCCCCTCTTCTAAAGGCAAAAGAGTAAGAGAAAATGGGACCCTTAATACAGTTGTTTTTCTGCACCAAATAAAAAAACTTGTCAACAACCATTAAACCACATTTGAGAACTTATCTCATCCACATTATCAATGTTTTTTTCTTCCAATTTGTCTGTTACACCCTCAATTTTGATAGTTTTTCCGTTGTCCGTCCTCATTACGATCCAACTTTAAATTTTTCCTTTCTGAGGATTTCACTCACAAAAAAAAGATTCTATATATCTCCTCATCTGCCTGCCTAAGCATTCACCCCGAGTGTTCCATGCTCTTGTCCACCTCCCCTAGGTGGGGCAAGGCGGTGAAAGGGGTAAACATTTAGTAGCACCCGATATTTACACCAAATTAACGAATAAATGATATATGTTTGCACCTAGGTGCAATAAATTTTTCTTTGGGCCAAAATTCATTTCGAGTTTAATAATACACACAGATAGTTCACGTGGTAAAGAAAATTACATGCTATAAAAGATAAAGGTAACCAGATAGCGTAAAATTTCTTAACGGTTCTTTTTCCTATGATATCAAGATTGATTGTATCAAACTACAACACAAAAACAATGACACTCACTTTCTCCATTCCCTCAACTGCACCTTTAACTATCCTCCACTTTCTCCCAGGCACAGATCCCCCTTACAAATTACTCCAAACCCACCCATCTTTTGCTCTTTTATCAAAATGCAAAAACATGGAAGACCTGAAAAAAGTGCATTCTCAGTTCATTAAATTTGGTTTACACAATTCCCAATTTGCACTAAGCAAACTAGTTGAATTTTGTGCAGTTAATCCCAATGATGACTTATCATATGCTTTATCAATCTTTAACACTACTGAAAACCCTAATCACGTTATGTTTAACATGATAATTAGGGGATACTCATTGAGTGAATATCCAAATTTAGCCATTGAATTTTATGAAAAATTGCTTTTTTCCGGTAATTTACCGAATTCTTATACATTTCCATTTGTTTTTAAATCTTGTGCTAAAATTATGGATACCCAGATGGGTAAAATGATTCATGGGCATGTTTTTAAACTTGGGTTGATGAATGATGTTTATGTACATGCTTCACTTATTAATATGTATGCTCAGAATGGTGAATTGGATGATGCTAGATTGGTGTTTGATAAAAGTTCTAAAAGAGATGCTGTGTCTTTCACGGCATTGATTAATGGGTATGCATTGAAGGGCCGTGTGGATGATGCTCGTAAACTGTTTGATGAAATGCCTGTAAGAGATGTTGTTTCGTGGAATGCTATGATTTCAGGGTATACTCAGATGGGTCGGTTTGAGGAGGCGTTAATGTTATTTGAGGAGATGAGAAATGTGAATGTGACACCTTCAGTGAGCACGTTATTGAGTGTTCTCTCTGCTTGTGCTCGTGCAGGTGAACTTAAATTAGGGAGTCGTGTGCGGTCGTGGATTGAAGATCATGGTCTTGGTCCGAATATTCGTCTTGTGAATGCCCTTATTGATATGTATGCAAAATGTGGCAATCTTGATAGTGCAAGGGACTTATTCGAGGGTCTAGAGGAGAAAGATTTTGTATCGTGGAATGTTATGATTGGGGGTTATACACATACGGGCAATTATAGAGAAGCGTTGGCTGTTTTTCATCGAATGCAGCAGGCAAATATGGCGCCTAATGATGTTACTTTGTTGAGCATCCTTCCGGCTTGTGCACATTTAGGTGCACTAGATCTTGGCAAGTGGATACATGCCTATATTAACAAGCATTATCAACACTTACAAAACACTTCTCTTTGGACTACTCTGATAAATATGTATGCAAAATGTGGAGCCATCACAGCAGCAAAACAAGTCTTTCAGGGAATGAAAACTAAAACTCTAGCTTCATATAATGTTATGATCTCAGGGCTAGCAATGCATGGCAACAGCGTGTAGTCACGCTGGTTTAGTGGATCTTGGTCAAGAATATTTTAATACCATGATCCAAAGCTACAAGTACACACCAAAATTGCAACATTATGGATGTATGATTGACCTTTTAGGACGAGCAGGGAAATTTGATGAAGCAATGGCCATGATTGAAAGCATGGACGTGAAACCCGATGGTGCAATATGGGGTTCCTTACTAGGGGCTTGTAGAATCCACAAGAATCTTGAGTTAGGTGAATATGCTGCCAAGAACCTATTTGAACTGGAGCGTGAAAATCCCGGTCCTTATGTGCGCTTATCCAACATTTATGCAGGTGCTGGAGAATGGGACAAAGTAGCATTGATAAGAACCTTTTTAAATGATAAAGGAATGAAGAAAGTTCCTGGCTGTACCTCCATTGAGATTGATAGAGTAGTCCATGAGTTTCTTGTTAGTGATAGAATGCATCCGGAAAGCAACGAAATTTATAAAATGCTAGATGAAGTTGATAGGCTATTGGAAATGGCTGGCCATGTTCCAGATACATCTGAGGTACATTATGAAATGGATGAGGAGTGGAAGGAAGGAAAGCTAAGTGAACATAGCGAGATGTTGGCGCTTGCCTTTGGATTGATCAGTACCAAACCAGGGACAACTCTCAGGATTGTTAAGAATCTTAGAGTGTGGGGCAATTGTCATGAGGCCACGAAGCTAATATCTAAGATATTTAATAGGGAAATCATTGCAAGAGATAGGAACCGATTTCACCATTTCAAGGACGGTGCTTGCTCATGCATGGACTACTGGTGAACTGATAAAGATCAAGCAAGTGATGGCTCAGTATATGCTCTCATGTATTTGGGAGAAGCAAATGATAATAGCCATTAAAGATGCTCTACTTCTATAGCTGAGAAAATAACTTCGTGTTGCAGATTATCCAAAAGGTAGATTACTAAGATGGAGACATAAATTTTGTACATTATTCTCTGTAAATTGCCTTGACAGTTTCAAATACTGCAATAGTGATAGCTAAGCTTTACAAAATATACTGTAATCTTGAAATGGTCATGAAGAAGATATTGTTGCCAGTGGCATTAAATGATTCGCGAATTGCAAGAAGGCATCAAAACCAGGTTATTTCATCTGATCAAGGTTATCAAGTTTAAGAAAAGAAGCCAATGCATTGTTAGAGAAAAACCAACTTTATTATATTCACAATAATAGATATTGATGCTGGTAATACATAGACGGAATGACATTTTTTTGGTGTGCACTATGCACTATTGCAGGGGATCAGTAGAGGTTTCGACTTATCCCACGTGACTCGAACCTCTGACCTACTGATTGGACACGGAAGCGTCTCATCAACTGAGCCAACCTCTCGTATCAATCGCGTAATTCTGTACTTAAAACGGGGATTACAGTAATGTTGATATCAGATAAAACTTAGTGCTAAAATACTACAAGAGTTTAGTGATTCAATTGTTGAGCCTTAGCCCTGTTGAAGGAGTTTTGCCTTGCGGTTGCAAGAACAGTCTTGTCTGCTACAATAAAATATGCCATTCCAGCAGCTGTAGAGACAATGAGTGCTTTAGCAGTTGGATTGAGATTAGCTCTTGCCCAAGGTGACATCTTCCCACAAGCCAACTGCATAATATTTCATCAAAATTTGAAACATTAGAACACAACTATATATTTGTATGTTTGGTACGACGAAAAATATTGCTCTCATTTTCTGGTGGAAGTCGCTTTCCTTCACAATTATCAATTTATAACTAATACTTAGATATTATTAATCTTTAATACTCCATCGGTATCTTGAAACCAGTCCATAATAAGTGACTTTTTATACTTTGGCACACCTCTTATAGAGAAAAAAAAAAAGATATATTCACTAAATTATCCTTAATTAATTGTTACTTTGACACATTGAGATATGTAAGTAAGGACAAATTTTGAAAAAATAAAATTAATTCTTTCTTGATTATGTAAAAGGACACTTATTTTAGACCAAAATAAAAAGGCCAAAAGATCACTTATTATGCTCCGAAAGAGTACGTATTGAAATAGATAGTGTAGCTTACAGTTGGAATGGCAGTTGCAACTGATGCAACAACTGCTGCTTTTGCTCCTGCAACTACTCCTTCTGTATATACAAACATGATATTTAAAACATTCATTAGATGATCAAATTAATGGAAAATTCAAGGTGGTACAAGCAAAGAAAGACAAAGTACCATGAGAGCAACGCTTAGCCATGGCTAGTTTTTGGTCCACTGAAGCTAAACTCACATTCTTTGCCATTTTAGTTTGTATTTGAAAAACTTTCAACTGAAGATGAAGATAGGAAAGTAATAATTCTGCTTTGAAAGAATTGATGAGTTTGTGAGTATAGTAAGAACGAATATTTATAGGCATTTCAGGTGTTGGAGTTTGGACAATAGTTTGATGGTTTTGGTTTATATCCAACGTCCGAGTCACTTGTTTCTTTTCACACTTTTTCTTTTACTTCTAATTAGTGCGTACTGTGATTTTTTTCAGTTTTACTAATATTATTATAACTTATAATATAAGTAGTTTATTCACAGGGTACATGAACCAGATCGATTTTAAAAATTAAAGTATTGGACTTTGGAGCACATGTTGAATTCTGTAAATATGTGAGTCTTTATTAGTGAGGAAACTCTATATTCTTGGATATAATGGACTCGCAATAAAAGAAAGTGAGAAAATATACAATAATTGACTCTTCATGTGTTTAGTACGACGAAAGTTATTTTTCATTAAAAAAAATTTGAAAATATTCTTGCAGAAAGCATTTTCGTGAAACATGTATTTCGGTGTCTGATTGATGAGTGGAGGATAATTTTCGGTAAGAATATATATTAAAGAGGCACCCAACGGAATGACTTAGGCACTCAAGGGAATCCGATTGCTCATTCAAAATATTATTGATATGAAGTAATCTCACGACTGATATGTAGCTTTATTTTTAATGCGCGTGCTCAAAAATTTAGAAAATTATAAATGTATACTTATTTGCTAATTTTCTCCAAAACAATGAGCCAAGAATATTCAAAGCATGCATGAATGATCGTACAATGAATAATCAAATTAGATTTTTACCGCATGCAAATTTGTTAGAAGTTAGAATATGCTATGAACCAAATCACAAAATACATGGTTACATGACTGCTTGCGCCAAAAATGATCTCAATTCCAATCGACAAAAGAAATATTCTTTTTTAATGATAAACGAAATAAGCTTATTGTGACCGAACTAAAAAACCAAAAGAAAAAATTATTTACATGAAAGAATTGTTTTAACTTCTTATAGAGATTCACGCGACGATCATTATCCTCATTATCTAAGACCGCAAACTATCAAATTGTTTGGCTTCAGAACCGAATCGAGACAGCGAAAATAAAGAGATGTAACACAAATACACCTTTCGAATAATTAATTATGCTATTTTAAAAAGTTTTTCTCATTTATATAAGGTACACGCACAGCGCGCATATACTAAAACTAGTAAAGAAAATTAAATATCGTCCATAAGTGACAGAAATTATTTTTTCCTTTTTCATAAAAAAAAAATATTTTACTCTTTAATCAAGCACCAAAAAATAAGGAGGCCAATAGTTTTGGGAACTTTAGGACAAAAGGCACTCCCAAACCGCAAAAACAATGGGTAAAGGCCATTTATCTAATTGCGTGCCTTTAAGATAACGTACCTGCTACCTAGTCTCAAATTTTAACACCTGCCCAAAAGGTAAATTGTCATTTCCTCAATTTTGATGAATTAATCAATGATACACTCATACTCTACCAAAATGTTTTTGCAAGAGGGATTTATAGCGGGCGTTCGCACATAAGAATTGTAAAATTCCGAAAAAAAATGAAAAAAAATTTCAGTGAAAATAATATTTGAAAACTAGAGTTGTGTTTGGACATGAATATAATTTTGGATTGTTTTTAAATTTTTGTGAGTAATTTGAGTGAAAATTTTGAAAAACACTTTTTGGAGTTTTTAAAATTTTAGGAGAATTCCAAAATACATCTTCAGATGAAAATTTAAAAATTTATGGCCAAACACTGATTTTGAAAAAAAAATAAAAAATTCTTATGTCCAAATGGGCTCTTAATTTTGTAATCGGTCCTGAAAATAAAATTGTCACATTTGATTGGAGATGCTTTACCACTAAGTAAGACTCTCTGGTTTGAATCCAAATTAGTCAGGCTACAAAATGAACACTAGATATCATATCCAAACACAGAATCTTTGGAAGAGTTTGCTTTTATTTTGTTTAATTTAGAGTTGATAGTTCTTCTGAAACTCCAATTGAGCTAAAGTTACATACATATAAGGGGTATCAATTTGACTAATGTTTTCCCGTTTAATCTTCCCCATACCTGAATGAAATTTGAGAGTGGTTTACCTTTTTATTTATGTGTGCTGCTTTCGGAAAAAATAAATTTGACTTTGTTCATCGCTCAATGAAAACCAGACGGAATTAAAGATTTCTTTTTTAGTACTACTTTCATTCTCCTACCTATTTGATTTTCTATCAAGATCATAAAATCTTTAATACCAATATGAAGAAAAAATTAATATATTTTTAATCTCTGAATCTCTAAATGATCTCTATAATTTTTCACCTTTTTCACACAATTCTTCACACGTTCTCTACTCTTTCACTGTAATTCTCTACACATGAATAGCTAGCAATACCCTATTTATAATGGTAGGAAACCTTCTTTAATAAAAAACACTGAAAAACTTGTACCTATATAAATTCGACTATAAATCATATTTAGATATGAATTAAATAATTTAACAATTATTAAATTCTAAACAATTTAGATTTTTTGCTCCAACTTTGAATTAGTCTTCCAACAAGCACAAACTAGTTATCGACATGAACCTATTTAATTTTCTTTGTAGCTGTTTTACCCTTGCATTCTAGACTCATTATATCAAGTATTCTATCTGGCTATCCGGGGTTCCTATAACATGAATATTTTTGTTTTGTGTGCGTTTTTGACTCATTATTTCAAGTATTATATATGAGTTTTGTGATATGAATTTTTGTTTTAGGTGTTAATTAGAGTGCCCATATGAATTGCTAAAGAACTTGGTTTTTTAGTGTTTTCATTAAACGTGAGGTAAAATAAGCAGTAAAGTAAACACAATGATTTTTACGTGAAAAATCACCCGGCTCAAAAGGTACAACAAACACGAACTTCAACTCCACTTGAACAGTGAGCCAAAATATATCAATTACAAGACAATAATTCAATACTCTCCAGTACTCCTACTACGACTAATTGATTTACAAGTTACTCTAACTTGTAAAGCAAACACTTACTCTAACTCACTAATTGTTTGTGACACTTTGATTACAACTCAATTTCCTAAAACACATTCACTAGACTGACTCAAGAAGAACACAACACTGGTACTCGACTAGAGTAAACAAAATGTAGCTCTTCAGTTGATGTGTAAAAGAATAATTTCATAAGTCCAAAATAGATACTCCTTTCGTTCCAGTTTATGTGAATTTATTTCTTTTTTGGTCCGTTCCAAAAAGAATGACCCCTTTCTAAATTTGGAAATAATTTTACTTAAATTTATAATTCTACCCTTAATGAGCCCCTTTTTGACTTGTTTAGGATCACAAATTTCAAAAGTCTTTATTTTTTCTTAAACTCCGTACCCAGTCAAACATGTTCACATAAATTGAAACGGAGGAAGTAGTATTTAAACGCCTAGACTTCATGATCTTCTAGGAGTCCTATGCATAGTCAGCTTCTCGTTTGATAGAACTCCTACTATTCGAAGGACTCTACAAGTTTTGGGACTCTTGTCTCTTACTGATTTATTCATATCTTCTTGGGCAACAACTCTTATCACTTGTAGCAGCCTTCTTCCATCAAATTCGGACCTGGGTAATTTTGAGATAAAATTACTGTCTTGGACAAATGTACAATCATCAACCAGAGGAGCTGGTCCTCTACCCTGAGGATCTGGTTCTTAGAACAGTTAAGAAACTACGTTAAGGACCTAGTTCTTCGAACATTGCATCTAAACAAACTTTTTTAATCATCAAAATTTCAATACTCAATAAATTTTTCCTTTTTGATGATGACAAACTTCGTACACACTAGACCCAGGTAATCACAACAAGTACCATATACAGACATATTCACAACCCACCAACCTTATCTTCCCTCTTTTGGCATCATCAAAAAATAGATGTTAGACATATGAAGCACATTTAATATAAGATTCAAGGCCATACAAGCTACAACACAAACTCAAGAATTATAAAGGTAAACAGACTAGGTTGATGATCCAATATTGTACGAAGCATTAAAACAGTATAAGAGAAGCCATTTAGTAGTGTCAAAAGAAGCCCAAGACCTTGTCTTAAACCATTAGAACAAAATAAGATGCACATACTGCAAGCTGCTCAGACTAGAACATATAGAAAAAAGATTAAAGCATCACTAGGATAGCAAAGGAAACTAAGGACACTGGGAAGGAACAGGTTCATGGGTGAGAGGTAGAGGGGGTCAATACTTTCACAAGAGTGGCAATCTATTGGGCATGAGCTTCAGTATCTCTTCCGAGCTCGTCCCTAAGCTTCCTGGTTTCTTTTCTCAGCTCATCATTGTCTTCACGAAGCTTGGCATTCTTTTCAACAACCAACTCCAACCTCTTACTGAGCTGCAGCCATGCTGCTTCCCGGAAGTATAGCATATCATGTTAATCCCCTAGCCTTGATCTCCTCATAGCCACACTACTTGAGGGTAATAGCATCCAAAACATCATTGTGATTTTCATACTTAAGCTCAGGCAAGCCAATGTTGAGTTTGTCAAATAAGTCAGTCAACATGAAGCCATAAGGCATAGTATGCTTAGGCTTGGAAGTGTTTGCATCTCTTGCCATATGCTGAATCATCAGGCTAGGGAGATTGATAGGTCTACCAGTGTCAAGCAGTTCCATTGCATCCATGTCCAGCATGGTAGCTTCTTGCCTTCTCTTAGACCTCTGCAGAATACATTAATTGACAAAGTGAAACAGCAGCTTGTGGAAGGGGGTCATATTAGTCTTGTACAACTTCTGGAGAGCATCCAGTTCAAACTTTTGGGAGAACTTCCTTGTGACCACAATTCCAGTTTCAACGTCATTGTCTATGGATGGCCACTTTTTCTTCGGGTAATTGTCAAATCCTAAAGAGGAAATATTCAGAAGCATCCCCAGCTCCTCAGCATCAAACTCTTTTTCAAGCCCCCTTACCTTACTTTTGACCATATTTCCATCTAATTGGAAGTTCCCACAGAACTCCATCATAACATGAGCATATACAA